ATCTCGCTTTATACTTGCTTATCCAATCCACTATCCACTATCCACTTCACTACCACTCCATCTACTCCACAATCCACTACCACTCCATCTACTCCACTATCCACTACCACTCCATCTACTCCACTATCCTCTCCATTCAAGGAATGAACGTGAAATTGGTTTTATTATTTGATTTTTTTCTTAACTCATTTTCAATTTAACTACAATGTGCTATTTTTTTACAGTGAAACGTTGTCCAAATTCAATTTCTATGGTCAAAGTAACACGTAACTTTTGAGAGGAATATACCAAGTCATGCTTAAATACAATATAATCGTATCCTTATAAAATGAAATCAGGGCTTCTATTCAATGTCGATACCTGGAGATGTCACCTTATGCAGCGAAAGTTCGGGGCCAAATACTCGGTACAAAGTCATTATTACTTTGAGAAATCACTTCGCCTCTGCTTCTATTGAGTGGATGGAGTTAAATTACTTTAAATAAAAGGACCAGTTGCCTCTGCTTTTATTGAGTCGATGGAGCTAAATTACTATTAATAAAAGGACCAATCGCCTTTGCTTTTATTGAGTGGATGGAGCTAAATTACTTTTAATAAAAGGACCAATCGCCTTTGCTTTTATTGTGTCGATAGAGCTAAATTACTTTTTATAAAAGGACCAATTGCCTTTGCTTTTATTGTGTCGATGGAGCTAAATTACTTTTAATAAAAGGACTAATTGCCTCTGCTTTTATTGAGTCGATGGAGCTAAATTACTTTAAATAAAAGGACCAATTGCCTCTGCTTTTATTGTGTCGATGGAGCTAAATTACTTTTTATAAAAGGACCAATTGCCTTTGCTTTTATTGTGTCGATGGAGCTAATTGAAGCTGGAGTTTTTGATTTTACTAGTCGCGCTTCTCCGCATCCAGCGAGCGAGAATGTAGCCCAAGGTCCACAGAGCGGGACCAGTTTTCGCTGAGCATAGAAGGCCAACGTGTCAGACTTGCACCTCGTGTCGCCTGCCTCATCTGCTGCCTGCCTCGTCTGCTCTGCTGCCTGCCTCGTCTGCTGCCTGCCTCGTCTGCTGCAGTCTTCGAGATCTGCACTCTATAGTCTACTGGCATGACGACCAAGTCTAGAGATTCTATTGCGTTTCCACAGAATATTTACGAAGGGTTTAGCAACGGGTAGCTGAAGCAACCCATAATTTTACTCTCAAAATGTTAACATGGAGTAAAACTCAAATTTATTTATCCCGTTGAAAAATGTAATCTAATGTGGTGTTTTTAATTTAATGTAAAATGTAATGTTGTATAAGTTATCAAGTTAAAGTTTTACGTGTAATTATGTGTACCGCAATATAACTCGTGTTGAGGGCTTGTTTAGGGTTTATCATTATAAATAAGAATTGTAAGTTGTTGAACTGCATGTTTATCTTTCCTGTATGGTTACGCGACACAACACGACGAAAGCCGCTGCTGCACCCACAAAAATGAATGGGTAATATTGTCCAGAATGTGGCTCATTTCCTCCCTTTATAGCACTGATGCGTTTTTTTTTTCACACGCTAAATTGGGCCAAGAGAGCGGCTAAAATTGTATCGTTTTTTTGGAAAAAGTTTGCACATTTCTTTGTGTATGTTGCTGTTGTTGTCTCGCAGTCGCTAGAGTTCCGCGTCGCACCGCCTATATATCAATGGATTAATACACCGCGTATATATCAATGGATTAATACACCGCGTATATATCAATGGGTTAATACGCCGCGTATATATCAATGGATTAATACGCCGCGTATATATCAATGGATTAATACACCGCGCATATATCACTGAATTAATACACCGCGTATATATCAATGGATTAATACACCGCGCATATATCAATGGGTTAATACGCCGCGTATATATCAATGGATTAATACACCGCGTATATATCAATGGATTAATACACCGCGTATATATCACTGAATTAATACACCGCGTATATATCAATGGATTAATACACCGCGCATATATCACTGAATTAATACACCGCGTATATATCAATGGCTTAATTCACCGCGTATATATCAATGGCTTAATTCCCCGCGCATATATCAATGGATTACCGACCATCATGAAGACTTGTTGCTCTGGGTCAACTGCACAGAGAAGGTGAACTGCTTCAAGACGTGACGCGAGATGATCGTGAGACCAACGATGTGGCTGTAGGGAAAGATTTTTCCAATGTTCCTTAATGCAAGTTATTTTATCGGCCTAATGGAGGTAATTTATTGTTTTCTTTGTGATTTGATGATATTGCTAATTTTCCAGTACAGCGTTCGACGGTATTCCAGAGTTGTCCAGATTCTACCGTTTATCTATTGAAACTCATTTAGACATTTAGACATTCATCATTTAGACATTTTTTGCAAGAATCAATGTTAAATGTTTCGCACATTAATTCATGTCATTCGGCAAAACGTTCCTAAAACCCCACTGAAGTTTGAAGTAAATTGCTTACAAAGACTGAAAAATAAATTCTTTGTTCCATTTTCAAACAAAATCTGTATTTGTGAATTTGCACGACCTTGTGGTGTTGTGAAGCTACGCTGGGAAGCGGACGCGTTTCAGATGCTCGTGTCATGGTCGCGCTCGCTCGTCTAGTTCCGACGTCACCGACGAGCAACACTTTAGAACGCGGACCGGAAACTGAACTAAACTTTGCCATTGACTTTGACTTGGGTATTGAGTGTGACTTTGACTGGAGCATTGAGTGTGACTTTGTCTTGAGCATTGAGTGTGACTTTGACTTGAGCATTGAGTGTGACTTTGACTTGAGCAGGTTTCGGTTTCAAGTTCGACCTGACGTCCGGTAATATAATCAGCAGCAAATAAGGTCAAGTTATTGCATGGAAAAACGTTAAAACAGTACCATTAAAACGTTTGTTATGTGTACGATACACGCTGAGTTTAGTTTGGCTTTTTCAGTAGAATAAATTTAGTTCATATAGAATTTTATTTTTTTTTAATATTCTGTCTTCTTGTTTAGAAGCAGGTTTAAAACCTTTCTATTTCTACTGAATCGCGATGAACTGCTCTATTTGATGATCAAAAGAGGAAAAAATTCGCATTACTTTGTTGGAAAGTTCCGCAAAATTGGAGCACTTTGGAACGAGATGTTGTAGCAGTCAGTCACCAAAACATGAAATTTATAAAATGACAGATGCGGCGCTATAGCCAAATAGAAATTCCCGCTTGAAGCATTAGTGTAGTGTAAAATGTAGCCAAAATTCAGCACAAACCAGAGCCGTATTATCATCGGCCATAGTCTGCAGTTCCATGCACGCCGAAAAGGCGCCTGTGATTGTGAATGCACTCGCCATTCCCTATTAGACATCTCACATCAAAATAACGTTTATTAAACTTTGTTCAGTCAACGTTGTTTATTCAACGTTAACGTTAAGCTGCCGTCAAAATAACGTTGCCCTAACGTTGTCTAGTGAACGTCGTTGCAACGTAATTAGTACGCAAGTCTTGCATCTTCTTCCCGCTGCCTTGACCGCGCGCTTGGTCTTCCGCCTGCACCGCTGTTGAGCTTCACCGCCGCAATATAACGGCAGTGAAGAAATGTGCAGGATTGTGGATTGCCATGAAATAACACGTAAAATAATACATGGAGATTGTGGATCAAAAACTATCATTTCAATAAATATCAGTTGAATCAGTACGATTCAGAATACATTAAACCATTCACCTTATCGTTAATTTATTTATTTAATAATTATAATTATTTATCCAATTTTTTTATTACTAATTAATGATTTACCTATCCATATCACTTTCTATACAGCCACTGCCATCCCCCCCAAAAATTATCTGTGCAGACATATCCGAGTTCAAATATTCTAAACGGAATCATATTGAAAATAAATGGAGCTATTTCTCTCTGAACGAGATTTATTAACTCGCTTATGAACGGCGTTTAATTACCGAGAGTTGACATTGAGTTAATGAGGACGCTTCTCACCGTATCATGTCTACCGTAACATAAGCTCGGTAAATTAAAATTATACCTTGCAATTTATCGTAGGAATAACATAACGGGTGTGGCAACTTCCGTTTATTATACTCACTCTTATCCACTTGTTTCACGGTGAGGTGTTTTCCAACCTATTTACTTGGTTCGTGATTAATAATGATTAGTTAATCAGTATCTGGCCAGTCACCGCGTTACCAATGACCGTGACCACTTCCTTAACTTCCATTGATAACGGCGATGCTATTCACATAGAGTAGTTAAAAGAGTAACTCTAATGAGGTAAGTACACTGGCAGTACATATTTTTCATACTGTACAAGTTTGACCATCAACACAAAAACTCACTCAGTTTAAGCTGATTAATAAATGGATTATAATTATGAAAGTTCGAGGGAAAAGTGATGTGAACGATGTGCGTGAATGTGATACGAAGCTTCAACCTCACTGTACTGTGTGTAGTGCACTGTACCTAACTGGGCAATGCACCACGGGTAAGACAAGTGAGCAAAAAGTTTCCACTATAAGTGATACAAAGTTCGGCTAATTTCACCTATTGAACTTTTTATCATAGTTCAAAGTTCACTTTTTGCATGAAATTTTTTCCTGCAAAGAGGCTCATTAAATACAACTAACCTGCAATCAAAGTTACTGTAGGAGAGGAGTCTCATGCAAGCTAAATTAGTGACTCAACGCTGACATGTTACACTATTCTTTGGTAATATTTTTTTTTACTTATTCTTAGTGTTACGTGAATAATTTGTGTGGTGAAAGATTCTATGATCTGCGCAGCGCATGGCGGGAATACACGCGCGTAATGCGCAGCGCATGACGGGAATACACGCGCGTAATGCGCAGCGCATGGCGGAACACAAGTCATGGGAACATTCCTATCCGGAATAGCGGTGAAGGTCGCGTGTCAATGCGGCCGCTCACTGGCTTATTATTATTGAGCTGCCTTGGCTGGAATGCTCGTGTTTCTCATAGCCTTCACGTGCCTTCACTTGATGCTTGGCTCTTTGTGGGACATCGCTGCAACAACTGCTGCAACAACTGCTGCAGTGACAACACTAACTGCATCAGTGACAACAACAGTGACAGCAGTAGTGGCAGCAGTAGTGCCAACAACACTAACTGCAGTAGTGGCAGTAGCAGTGACAGCAGTAGTGACTGCATTAGTGGCAGCAGAAGTGCCAACATGAGCGCCAGCAGCTGCAGTAGCTGACAGCTCAGCTGCAGAGCCAACATGAGTGCCAGCAGCTGCAGTAACTGACAGCTCAGCTGCAGTGACAGCAGCTGTAGCAGCTGACAGCTCAGCTGCAGTGCCAGCAGCTGCAGTAACTGACAGCTCAGCTGCAGTGACTGCAGTGCCAGCAGCTGCAGCAGCTGACAGCTCAGCTGCAGTGACAGCAGCTGTAGCAGCTGACAGCTCAGCTGCAGTGCCAGCAGCTGCAGCAACTGACAGCTCAGCAGCAGTGCCAGCAGCTGCAGTAACTGACAGCTGAGCTGCAGTCTCATGGCACACTGCAATATTTCCAGCTGATTTAGCAGCGCCGTTGTGTAGCCTGACGCTACAGGTGTGCCTGTCTCGCGAGGTGCCTGCTTTGATGAATTACATCAGAAGTGCTCACGAGTTATCGAGTACCTGGTCTAGTACAATCATCAGTAATTAATATGCATATATATGAAGATATGTATACAATATTTGATATATGTTTTTACCTTAAAAAGATAGAATAAACATGTACCGAGTGTTTGGAACATGAAAGGAAAAAAACCTGAAACAAACCCTGATTGTTCTAGTATTATGAGTCATGAGCATCAATAATTAATCTCTTAATATGCCAGTTAATGATAAAGTTTCCATGGAGCCTGTATAAATATACCAGCCTCCACCCAATTTTCTACAAATGGTTCGGTCTGGGGGGGAAACTCCCGACGAGATTTCGACACAGAGAGCCGAAATATCATCTCGGTCTTGGTTTGATCGTGATGAGATAATCGCTTTAGCTTTTTTAAGACTCTGCTTTTCAGCCGCCGAGTTTTAAGACCTGGGTTTTAAGCCGCGGGGTTAAAAACCATTTGGCTTTCCATCCGCTGGGTTTTAAGCTGCGAGGTTAAAAACCATAGGGGTTTCCATCCGCTGGGTTTTAAGCTGCGAGGTTAAAANACACTTCTAATCACTACACAGTGCACAGTCAGCGCACCTCTGAGCACTGTACAGTCACTGCGCAGTAACTGGTCTTCTGAATACTGCGCAGTAACCTGTATACTGCGCAGTAACCTGTATACTGCGCAGTAACTGGACCCTACAATACTGCACCGTCACTTGACCCCCTGTAAACTGCGCAGTAACGGGACCCCCAATAAACCGCGCAGTAACTGGACCCCCAGTATACTGCGCAGTAACTGGTCCTCCATAATACTGCACCGTCACTGCACGAAGCCTAGGTCAGGGCTTGACCTGTTCGCTGCGTGTGCTGGCCTGCAGGCAGCTTTCAAAAGCTGGGCTCACGCGACGCATCCACCGACACTAACACGTCAAGGTTGCGCCACCAGCAACACTCAGGAACTTGGGTGTCAGTCAGAAAAATTATTTTCTCATGCCCAGACAGGATGTAATATTTTCAAAAATGATATTAAAGGAAAATAAAAACCCCACTGTGATACCCTTTTAACAGAGATTATGTTATCTACAGTTATAATATACTAATGAGATATTATTAAATTTTTTATCATCACATTCTTGTACACAAATTGCTAGTTGCTTGAGCTGCTAAAACGGTTCCTACGGAGTGGTATTATGGCACAGAAATTAGAGCAGTATCTGCATGCCACATAAATACAGGCCTACGTATACTTGTATAGCTACCAAGACACTAAGTAGTTTGAAAATAGTGGCCTGCTTTCCAGGTCTATTGAGAGGCCTGTGTGCGGGACACCTGCAATCCTCGCAAGTCTTTTATTTAAGCATCAGTTAGCATATGTTTGCTGTGTCAGGAACCTTAGGCAGCTATCATGGGATCGTTCATTCTCGGCCATAAACCGGCCCTAATACAGCTCTACTCACAATAGGTTTTTAGTGAATTTTTTGGCGAAATGCAATCCTTAGTACGCATTTCGGATGTAGCAGTCCCAGGCCACGCTGGAGTATAGCGTTGTGCCAGGTTTTGGTATCAGTGGACTGTTCAGTGGGCACTGAACAAACTCAATGCTCATTATTCTGTCTCCCAAGTGTTTGATATGTTTGTGTTTATACATCAGGTTCGTTGAACCTGCTCATCCATCACAAGTCTTTGCTTAAGTAGATGATTGATTTGTTTGCAAGTGATGTCTCGGTGAACGTCTCTTTGATTGCAAGCATTTGTTTGTCTCTGTGAATGCCTTTGTCTCGGCATGAACGCTGCGTGTGATCGCATATTATAGTTGTTTGTTGTGCTTGCCCGGTGAACGATCTGCCTGCTCTTTGTCACGATGCTTGTTGAGGTGAAATATCTGTTTCCTCTATGGCATTTACCTCTGTTGGCCTGTCTGTTGGTCTGTTTGTCGGCCTGTCTGTTGGTCTGTTCGTAGGTCTGTCTGTTGGTCTGTTTGTCGGCCTGTCTGTTATTCTGTTCGTTGGTCTGTCTGTTGGTCTGTTCGTTGGTCTGTCTGTTGGCTTGTTCGTTGGCCTGTCTGTTGGCCTGTCTGTTGGTCTGTTCGTTGGCCTGTCTGTTGGTCAATTCGTTGGTCTGTTCGTTGGTCTGTCTGTTGGCACGTCTGATTTACTGATGCTTTTGTCCTGTTTTTTGTTGGACGGGGCTGCGTGCTTTACGGTTTTGTTGATAATTGAAAATACCTATTCATGTTTTATGATAAATTGAAGCATTTAAATCAGGAATGAATTTAATCAGAAATGACATTTTTTTAGTAGCGGTTTAGTTCTGGTAGAAAATTAATCTATTATTTATTTTTGACGTGATTGTGTGGCTAGACAGGTTAAATTCTGAGAAAATATTAAATTTGCTTGAGAATGCTAAAGATTATATATATTGTGATGCTGGGCGTAGTAGCTTGAGCTGCTGTGGCAAGGTTAACTGGTGACTTGTACAGCTGTAGGGCTGGTGACTTGTACAGCTGCATGACTGGTGACTTGTACAACTGCATGACTGGTGACTTGTACAGCTGCTGGACTGGTGACTTGTACAGCTGCAAGACTGGTGACTTGTACAGCTGCAAGACTGGTGACTTGTACAGCTGCAGGACTGGTGACTTGTACAGCTGTAGGACTGGTGACTTGTACAGCTGCAGGACTGGTGACTTGTACAGCTGCAGGACTGGTGACTTGTACAGCTGCAGGACTGGTGACTTGTACAGCTGCAGGACTGGTGACTTGTACAGCTACAGGACAGTTCTATTGCCGTACAGTTAGCGTGCTGCCATCTTTGATCCCTCGCATGTGTCAGCTTTCTTTGGTCGCTAATTTTTTACAGTTAACGAGATGGCAGTTCAATGTCAAGTAAAGGTTAACGACGGTACGGCAAGCACGACGTAGAAATTTTTGAGCCGCATACTCGCCGGCCGTACGTTGGCCACCTATAAATCGCCTGGGATTTGCCATATAGAATCGCATCCAAATTTTGACATTAAAATCCTGCCAAAGGCCCATCTCACTTACGTTGCCTCATCTTGAGCACAGTTTTGATGAACTCGTTGGGATGTTTTCTCGTGTAAGTGAACTGCAGACAGTAAACGAACACTTATGATTGAGTAAACTGCAGACAGTGAACGAACACTTATGATTGAGTAAACTGCAGACAGTGAACGAACACTCATGAATGAGTGAACTGCAGACAGTGAACGAACACTCATGAATGATTGAACTACAAACCGAGTGAACGAACACTTATGATTGAGTAAACTGCAGACCGAGTGAACGAACACTTATGATTGAGTAAACTGCAGACCGAGTGAACGAACACTTATTAATGAGTGAACTGTAGACCCAGTGAACGAACATTTATGAATGAGTGAACTGCATACTGAGTGAATGAACACTTTAGAATGAGAGCTGAAGCTGCATACTGAGTGAACTGCAGACTGAGTCAAAAATCACTTATGAATGCATGAATGAACTACTCGAGAACCTCTAGAAAGGAAAACTTCCTCTTGAATGAAATTGTTAAGGCGTATTTGATCTTGCTCGTCTCTCGCTCAAGGGTGTGCGAGAATAGTAAATAAATGCGTGTAGGAATGCAATGTTGTCTATAACCAAATACGTTAAACTGAAATCAAGCTAGCTAATTATGATAAAATCATGTCAAGTTGATATATACAATTAAAAATAAGGCTGACGTGCAGATGATGAGTCATGGCGTCTGGACTGAAAGTCGAGACGGTAACACTGGAAGAGCTGAGCGTCGGGTGGCTGCCTCGGACCGTAACAGGGACGATGACAGAGACCGTGACGGACTGTGACAGAGACCGTGACAGGGANGCTGCTCGGTAGTGCGGTAAATATTTAAATAGTTGCTGCTCGGTAGTGCTGTGAATCATACCTGTAACTATAAGTACAGTGACTGCACAGCGACTGTGATTGCAATAATATAATTTGTTGAATTCAGGCTGCGTCCCTTGCATTCATTTCATTCATCATGCAAATAACGGGTCTGTCTGTCATCAAAATTTATCGGATGAAACCAAAACCACCTGAATTTGTGGAATGAATGGAATTAATGCTTGGAATGAATGAAGATCTTAGTTTAAGGAGGTTGGAAGCGAAGAATTTTTCGTGCATGCTAAGTTATTAAAAACGTCAAAACCTCGCAAGAGAATTTGTTTTCGTCTTAGTGAAACATTTGCTTGGTAAGCAATAAACATGAAATTTTTATGAAAAAAATTCTCTTTATTGGGTTTTCGGCTCACAATTTGATTGCATTTCTGATATGCACACGTGTCATATATTTACCCGAAGGGCAGCTTAGAAAGTTGAATTTTATAAAAATCTAGATAAATAACAAATTTTATACATTTTTTATAGAATAGAGCAAGAGTGTGCGTGCGTGTGTCGGTGTTAGAGCGGTAAGCAGCAAACATTATGCCAGGCTTGCTCAACATCGCTGCATGGATACCGTCGCAGCGGCGGTTGCTAGGGAAACTTCTTATGAATATAAAGCGTTTCCATGTTTTCAATGTGACTTTATCCATATTACCTTCCTATTTATAAATATTAATATTTCCTATAACATTTCACTTCGAAAATATCAATAGGAGACGATCACATCGCACAACATTTTATTTTGTAATTTTCACTGCGAAAATCGATGTAAGAAAATCATTACTCTGAAGAGGTCAATGTATGAAACTAACGAAAATTCGTTTCCTGTTCAACAGTTGCTCTTCGTGGGGAAGGAACGACTCATCTTACCATCGCCGATGATCTACGGATCATCCTCACTTCAAATGATCTTATATCAAGTGCTCTTCGTACCTCCAATCCAAGCTCATTCGTCACGTGATCAAAGATCTACATTTATCTTTTTATGGTTTATGAAACTAACGAAAATTCGTTTCCTGTTCAACAGTTGCTCTTCGTGGGGAAGGAACGACTCATCTTACCATCGCCGATGATCTACGGATCATTCTCACTTCAAATGATCTTTTATCAAGTGCTCTACGGATCATTCTCACTTCAAAATGATCTTATATCAAGTGCTCTACGGATCATTTTGACTTCGAATGGTCATCTCATTTCAAGTGTTCTTCGTACCTCCAATCCAAGCCCATTCGTCACGTGATCAAAGATCTACATATATCTTTTTATGATATAAGATATTTCCTCCACTCTTCTGCTCTTTCATTGCTTCACTCAATTCCACTGTAAACTCATTTTTTTTATTAAAATTAAAAAAAACCTTCGCTGGGTTTGGGTTTCAAGGCAAGTCGCGCGTCACGAAAATTCAGAATTATGTTTCAAGAAAGTGGATTGAATCATTGAATGTGAAACGCTTGACAAAATTTAAACTTTTGATTTATTTTGCAACGCACGATAATTCAACAGTTGCTCTTCGTGGGGAAGGAACGACTCATCTTACCATCGCCGATGATCTACGGATCATCCTCACTTCAAATGATCTTATATCAAGTGATCTTCGTACCTCCAATCCAAGCTCATTCGTCACGTGATCAAAGATCTACATTTATCTTTTTATGGTATAAGATATTTCCTCCACTCTTCTTCTCTTTTATTGCTTCACTCAATTCAACTGTAAACTCATTTTTCTTATTAAAATAAAAAAGGCCTTCGCTGGGTTTGGGTTTCAATGCAAGTCGCGCGTCACGAAAATACAAAATATGTTTCAAGAAAGTGGATTGAATCATTGAATGTGAAACGCTTGACAAAATTTAAACTTTTGATTTATTTTGCAACGCACGATATACTTGAATAAAGGGAACTATACCGTCCAATTGTGGGTAAAGTCAAGCTAAAGTTTTCATGTTTTCGCTCCCTCGCTCATGACGGTAATCGTGCAGTCTTTCACACCATCCCGCTCAGTTTATCCCTAAAAGTTGAGTTTTTACAAATAATTAAAGGGAGGCTAAGTCGATTGCTGACCAGTAATTAAATTAACTTGAAATGATTATCGAATTTATTATAAATTATATACTCTGTAATCTTTCATTTCTGTACATTCGAACATCCGAAAAAAATATTTTTTGTGAAACGATACATTATATTTAGTGTCGAAAAAATTATAATAGTGGCATTATATTAAGTCCCGAATAGAATACAATACCGCCACTGTAATAGGTCCCGAATAGAATAAAATACTGCCACTGTAATAGTCGCTAATAAAATCATATGCCACCATTATAGATTTTCTCTCTAAGGAAAAGGCTGCTAAATTGTGCGTCTGTTCATCATTTTCTCCCGAGGCTCTCAGGGGCATTCATATTCTATTATGGAATTGTTTGTTGACTCGCGTTTTTTTTTTGGTGAACATTGAATGTTTTCGTGCCTGAAAAAGAAATCATACAAAATGTATATCTTTAAATTTAGGTCAACATTGTTGAATGCAAGATTGTGCCACTGTATAAATAATGAATATAGATGTGTAATAGAAGGTAATACAAACTGCAGTGCGTAAAAACGTTGATATATACATTTGTAATTACATGATATTAACAATAATAAGTGTATTATTTAGGTATTGATTAGTTTAAAGCTCACAGCATAATCCTGTAATTTGTGTCTTGCCCTAGCAAGCGTCCATAAATACAGCTTGATTATCTTGTAATCCAGGGATTATTTTGTAATCCTTGTCAAAATCCAGGGTGAAATATTTTTAAAATTATTATTAGGAATCTAAGGGCCGTAACGTAATCAATATATATTGAAAAATTCCTCAAATGTTATTAACTAAAGTATGTAATGATCAGTCTTTTAATTAGATGATTAATTTGGGTTTCACGGAGTTTCTCACATTAAACTTGCCGTTGATATATTTAATTAATTGGCTGTATTTAATTCATATTCATTGGCTGTATTTTCCTGCCCATTCTTGCCATAGGAACGACCATAGTTATTATTTCTGTGACATTATAATGTTCATAAAATTATATCACAGCGTGTCTTAAGCCATACGTTTAGAATTCATTATATATTATATATGTTGTAAAGGATGATAACCTGGTGGCCGCAGAGCAAGATGGTTATATCGTATTATGCTAATAATTGTAATATATTTATCTTATGATAATACACATAATAATATAATATATCTTACGGTATATTCCCGGACGTGGTGTGCAACTTTTCCAGAACCGTTATTCGAAAAAAATCGAATCTAAATTACAATAAATTTTCCAATTTCATTTTAAAGAAATTTCGAATGTAATTTTGAAAAACTTCCGAATCTGATTTCAAATTTTTGATCCGAGTTCTAAATTGTAATTTCAATCTTCATGTGTGATGCAATCGAAGTGAAACACAAACTACGTCTTCACTCAACTGAATACGTCTGTGACTCATGAAGTTGTTCAACTTTTTATTAACTTTAACGTACCACAATAGAACACATTGTGCTTTCTCAAAAAATTTTGTTGATACTCTGATTGGCTCCTAAGAAATATTTTTAGTATCTCACTGTTTCCCCATAGAAATTGATGAATTGAACTGAGTTGAATTTACCCGTTGAAAAAAGGTTGAAATACGACTGTGGCAATAGTATAGATATCATGATACATCACAAGGTTATTTTCTAGAGTGTGAATAGTGACTAGAACGACTAGGAATAGTCGTGCACGTTGGCGCGTTAGTCAACTTTTCTCTCTCAATTGTCCGTGTATAAAAATAATATTTGTACTCAATTAATAGATATGCAAGGGTAGTCCAAGTATATCCGGATGATCGTTTACAAAATTATAGTTATTACCCGCACAATCATTTATTTTACTTGTAATTTAACAATCAAAGATGGTGTATAAATTAAAATCTACGGCTTATTCGCGTGGCTGATAGTTTGTGTGAGAATTAATGCTAAGATATTGAACGACGTGGCATTGGCTGGTGAAATGTGAAGCATTTATATAACACGATTTATTTTGACCCTCCGGGAAAGTGTCTTTTTGATACCTTCCCAGAAGGTCAAAATAAATCGTGTTATATAACAATTGTCTTCGTTTTAGAAAAAAAGAAGGAACGGAAATTTGTTCATATATGTCTCATTTCGAAATGTCAGTTATACACTCAGAGGAATAAGCGAGACTTTGTCTAAATATCGATGTACTTGTCGCCCTCGTCTGGGTCATCCTTATCAAGGTTAGTTCTGCATGAAAGCGTATCTATGCTACGGGCTGAAAGTGTGGCACTAGTTAGCCAAATCATTCAATTTTTTTGTGTGTTCACACTCACACGACTAGGCAACTCACACAGTTTCATGCAGCCACTTCTGTATATGCAATTCAGAGTCGAACAGTAACTAGTTGTAAATGCGCTCTACTTAACTTGTCTATGTGTAATTTTACTGGGAATTGATTGTTTGGTGCCAGATTTTGCCTGTAAAATCTGCTCAATGCATTTATGATGATACGATTTCTGACGGGAGTTACGTGCAAAGCATGTCGGTTGGTTTGATAAACATGTCGTATTCTTGCCGAATATTTAGAAAAATGTGATTTTTCCTGCCAAATGTTCAGATGGAACTGGTGTAGTTTTGCTGAATGACTAAAATTTTAAAGTCAAAGAAGGCATCTAAGATTGACAAACCTTCGGTATAGTGAAGAAATGTGAAGCTAAGAGGAATTATGAATTATTCAATTTGGGTTTGCTATTTTATGGTGCGAACAATTTAGCTTTCTCTTCGCCTCAGGTGGCTCCTGTGGTTCACCGCTTTGCAAGCATTTCATGTAGCAAATATAATGGAATTTTCAAGTTCAAGCAATCGATACGACATTTTGAAAAAAAAACATGAACTTTAAACATGGTCATCGTAACATGAGTCATCAATACACGAAATTGTGCGACACATTCATTACATTTCTGATTATATCAGCAGTGCTTCTGCGTTTCCAATTCGAAGAACGACGTTCATTCATAAACGACTCCATCGTCTATGTTCGGGGCGATAACTTTCATATATAAATATATTTTTGAAAGCCAAAGTACAAGTATGAATAAGTCAACATCGCGGCAGAATACGCAATATCTACCCTGAATATTCGCCGTCTAAACAAGGTGATAGTAAATTGCAACGATCTTGAATGCAACCGTAAGTATTAGGTCCGCAGTTGGTATAGGCTTGGTTACGATGCTGCATGACGTTGCACTTATTTGTGAGAAATTTTCTTTTTAAATAGAAAATAATATTCGGAAAAATGAGCGAGAATTTGTCCAAATACAGATGCACTTTTTGATTTTGTATGGGTCGTCCTGACACAGTTTGTCTAAGAAACATGGCGTATCACTGTACACTGTGTTCATATTAGAACAATACGTCACATTTATTCTTCTGAGTGAATATATTTACAATTATAATGATTCTGTCCATATCGAGGCGGGAGCTGGGATAGACAATAAGATGTGTAGATTTTAGAATATAGCGGAAATGTTGGTATTAGTAAGATATTTTATCGCAATCTTTGAGTGCTTCAGTCCTAAGTACATGACCTCCGACCTCACTTCAAACATTCTCTCTAAATACAAAACGCAAACAATACACTTTACATTTATGAAGGCCATTCATTTTAGATACTGAATGAAATTCGTCTTACATTCAAAAATGAATCGTATATATATTTAAAAACAAAGTACTTAATTTTTTTAATTCGTTCCGTATTACTGATTTAGAATGCCATGAACCAGCAAAAATGCAATTGCATTACAATTTGAAGTAATTTTTTCATGTTATAATTCATATTTTTACGGTCGTATGAAGGAAGCTAAGGAATTCCTACGGGATGAGGATAAATATAAGTTCTGGTTAATGATAGATAAGCTTGACTGGTTTATATTGTAGTGAATATATACTAGTTCCTAGTGAACTTGGACTAGTTCCTAGTGAACTTAGACTAGTTCCTAGTAAACTTAGACTAGTTCCTAGTGAACTTGGACTAGTTCCTAGCGAACTTGGACTAGTTCCTAGCGAAATTAGACTAGTTCCTAGTGAACTTGGACTAGTTCCTAGTGAACTTGGACTGGTTCCTTGTGAACTTAGACTAGTTCCTTGTGAACTTGGACTGGTTCCTTGTGAACTTAGACTAGTTCCTAGTGAACTTGGACTGGTTCCTAGCGAACTTAGACTAGTTCCTAGTGGACTTGGACTAGTTCCATCAATACGCTGCACTGCACGGCGCATAACACTTCGCTGTACCATATCTCAGATCTCAAATGGGTATCATTTCAGAACTCCCCAGGCTCCTAGGCTATATAGGTTATATCGGAATTATCTCTTGTCTAGTCCAATTCAAAGTCCAATTCGATATTTCTGATAGCAATTTGTTAACTAACACTCATTTGCAAATGGCTGTTACGTTCATAGTTTACTGTTGGAAACGTTACTTAAAATCTAATAATTATTTATTGAATAATATTTTAATTTTGGCGAATTCGTGAATTTTTGTTTGATGTTATGTTAGCCTCTGCGCTATTAGCATTGGGCGAGCTTAATGAGATGGGGCTGAGTTAATGAGCCCAGCAAATGCTGAATTTACAGCATTGCTTAGCGTCGTCTCATTAACTTAGGTTTTCAACGAGTCAATCTCAAGTTTCTTGATTTTCTGACTTCCTAAAAATTTCCTACTTTTCTTTTGCTTTTTTTCTTGTAATTGTTTTGTTGCTTTAGTGTGTTTATTTTTGCAGGTATGCCATCTTCCTACAGTTACCGCCTCATTAAATTTTTATTTTATTTTTTTATTTGTGTATTTTCCGTAATATTTTTTTGAAAACGAACAATAAGGTTCTTAGATAAATAACCTACCGTTTACTCAACAACCATTTAACTTAATGATAAATATTTTTCTGGCGCAGCCTTGAAATTTCTATTGATTTATTCTTCATTTTTATTTTGATGGGAATTTTTTGTTCCTGTAAATTCTTATTAGCTTCTGTACTTGGTAAAATTTTGCTAATGTCCACACAGAGTTTACTTCGTTGAGGTACGAAGCTGACAAAAATCTAGGCAGGATTTGGTATCGTAAAAATTGTATTCGTATTGTGCTAGGAATTGTACGAGCCATTGTATTGTTTTGTCCCAGGAATTGTGCAAGCAATTGCACTGTTTTGTCCCAGGAATTGTACAAGCAATCGCATTGTTTTGTCCCAGGAATTGTACAAGCAATCGCATTGTTTTGTCCCAGGAATTGTACAAGCAATCGCATTAGTTCTGCACTGGTTCTGGCCGTACAGAGGTTCTCGCTGTGCAGAGGTTCTGGCCGTGCAGAGGTTCTTGCTGTGCAGAGGTTCTTGCTGTGCAGAGGTTCTTGCTGTGCAGAGGTTCTTGCTGTGCAGAGGTTCTTGCCGTGCAGAGGTTCTTGCCGTGCAGAGGTTCTTGCTGTGCAGAGGTTCTGGCCGTGCAGAGGTTCTGACTACGCATGGTTCTTGCTGTTTATCAAGGCAGTGTATGACTGCATTATTTTCTTCCCCTGCAAAGTTTCTCCTCACAGTTACACGATGTAGTCACTATTAAATGATTGTAGCTCTAAAGCCACGCACTCACTATACACGCTAACCTTCTTCCCTGCGATGACATGGAGAACGATAACCTTTCATCTGTTCGTCCTCTATTGAATATTTCTCTTCTGGGACCAATGCGCAAGATACAGTCGAGTTTTTCTAGAATTTCGCAATCCTTCAAACATTTTTTAAATTTCTTGCAATTAATCCAAAAATTTAATACGGTTCTTCACAAATTCATTGCATTTCTTCAAAAATGCATTATAGTTTTTCATAAATTCATTGCAGTTAAATGGGAATTGAAATAAGTTCAGCATTAATAAATTGTGATGTTTTGTATACATGTAATTAATTTTAACACAAAACATTAGCTGGATTTACAGCATTTGCTTGAAGTGAATCAGGTCTAAAAAAAATTAAGTTCCTGTTTAAAAAAATATCTTGTTGCCCTGACTTAGTTTTGCTGATGCCGTCTCTAAACTTAAGTTCGAACGCGGGCATATCTTACACCCAACACTCAGAGACACGAGTGAGTCTTTTGTCCAACTAGCGATGCTCTCTCAGCCCTTATGTGGGTCAACATAACTCAGTTTGGCTCGGCATAAGGGTGTATCAGTGCTACGTCTCACTGCTCGTGCTGTGGGTGAGAAAGTGTGTCACTATTTGTACAACACGACCCATTCATTTGTCTGGGTGTCAAGTAACTCGTCAGTTTTAAATCCTATTCATATTCATAGTCCGTGGCCATGCGTTCCGCGACCATTGGCCAACGATAATGCGGCTATAATTTCTATCGTGAAACTAAACTAATGATCTTTTTGTGCCACGGAATTTTTTTAGGAATAAGCGATCGCTATGTTCATGGTGGTGTAAATCTAGTATATATATATATTTTCAAATTTAACTTAAACTTTGAAAAATACAATAAAAAGTTCCTGGGAGTTGTGTGGTTGGTTGAGTTTTGAGTTGATGGTTAATTAAAGTAATAAATATATAGGATTGGCGATGGGAAAAGTTATATATGTTTTGATATTGAATCAATATGTTTGTGCTGCACCCACGGACGTTGCTTGCGTTTGGTGCCTAAATAAATAAGTGTATGTACTTACAGGTTAATATATCATACTATTATTACCGTAATGATCTTCCTTATTAAGCGTTGTGATTTGTATCATTATTTAGATTACACAACTGACTTTCAAGTGACAAACTACCAAAAAACGCCCAATAAAAATGACATTAAACTTGAACTCGTTCTTTTATTGGCCTTCACGAACAGTACGGCGCATCGTCATGAAAATTGATGCTTCATATCGTACAAATTACACGATATGACCTACGATTAGAGCTACGATATCAGTGAAGTGCACTGCACTAACATGTAGAAGTTTGCAATCTGCATCTGTTGATAATTTAGTGAAATCCGCATGACAAACGCTGATGTTGGATCGTGTAAGAACTGTGAAAATCTAAATAATTTTTAATATACACTAAACGATCTATAATTGTTTCTTGTCGCGTGAATACACTTTGTGTTTTATATTGATTCGTAAGTAATATGTGCAATGTACTCCCTGTCGTGGAGGTCTCTCCTAAAGTCTGTTTCATGTCAGTGAAAAGATTCTCATACGCTTTTCTTCAAATTTCCGCTTCTTTAGTTAAATTCGTAGGTTCTTGTATTGTCACCAATTATACTAACTTGAATTTTCTGTACTGCGTAAATTTAATATAATTAAAAAAAGGGGACTCAATTAAATAATTTTTTTCATAAGTTTGAACCGCCGATGGTAGCACGAATACCATTCAAACTTTTACAACTTCTGAACGCGGCAGCAAATGTCAACTTTCCGAGCTAACATATGCTCTATGAATTGATATTAGAAGCGAGGTTCCAGTTTTCAAGTATTTTTGTGAAGTCGAGGATTCCAGCAAAATTTGAATTGCAAATGAATTATATGTTAACCTACTGCAGCTGAGCGCAAATTAAAAGAAATAAATTTATAATTTTTGCTACTATTGCATCCATGATACGCGGCGGCAAGACATAAGAGGTCTAAAAAATCTTTGAATTCAGGAATATTCGTAAATTTTCACGCGCAGCTGGAAGCAAAGAAGACAAGTTTTCGACGTCATATTCTGGAAACTCATTGACGATTTAGCTGCGTGATTTATCGCGCATTTTGTCCGGGTAAAAGCAAGCGCCATCCTCGGAATGGAGACGTGTTCCAACAATTAAATTGAGACCGTTTTAGTTAAAGATGAGCTCAGCGAAGATGGAATGCAGGAGAAGAAACAACTTCAATATAATGAACCAGAAGGCACAAACGTAATGCCCAGAGATAACGTGGAGTAAACGAGAGGATCTAAAATTAACAGGGATCCATCGTGCGGAAAAGATGACGCCTCAGAAAGTTCAGAGGATGTGAGCTTCGAAGATTTTGTTACCGAAAATAGATATCTCAGCAACACATCAGATGACGAAGTACCAGCGCCAAAACTTCCTATTAAAAGGCAGAATAATCAAAGAAAGATCAAAGATAAAAAACCATGTGCAAACATGACGAAGCAATCCAAGCCTAGAAAATAAATTAGTGAGTGCGGTTACAAGCAGAAGTTGAGCGCTGACAGCACCACCTCTGCTAGCAGCTTTGCACGAAGAAAGACCGTTTCGTCAGAGCAATTCTTCCGGCCTTACAACAGAAAAATGAATAAGTTGGACGTTTTTCAAATTCCATCGTATTGGGCCCTCGTACCAATAGATTCTGGCATCGAAAAATAGGAGTCGGCGCAATCAAGTCTCCAGCGCAAGTTTCGCGAGTTGAAGAAGCGGTACAATTAGTTGCTGAAGAGTTACAAAGTGATCAAGAAATATAACAAATACCTTAAGTGGAAAGTAGATCGTACAAAATATAGGCTTGTTCAAGGACATGAAAACGATGAAGTGACTGGGCAGCGAACCAAAAATAAACTACCTGATGATATGCAAGCAGTTGATGCGTAAATTGTGCAATGCACGCCAATATTTGGTGAATAATTGGTCGGTTTAACGGAGCAGGAGCGTTTCTACTCACCAGCTCGAGCTCTGGAGGCTGTAGTCTTCCTGGCGGCTGATGCCACACCAGAAGTAAATGCGAGGAACGCGGAATACAATCACAACGGAGGGGATTTCGATCAAGCAAGGAAAGCTGAACTTTTCAAGGAAAGTAAGCCTGGCGAAAATCAGGGTATGCATGAGAGATAAAGCGACAAAAATGCATCTGATGAGCCATCAAAATTAAAATTCGACGAAGATGCAGCAGTTGAGATCAAAGAACCCCTCGAGTTAGATTGTAACTTGTAATGTTCTTGTGAAGAGAATACGTAAGAGACGATGAACATCACCTCAGTGAACAGAGTGAACTGCGTGCCTTAGCCTCGACCGCGTCAACAACGTTTCAACGAAGATGAACGTTCCCGCTGGACGCTTCAACCTCCTTCAACATGGCAAATAAATGAAGATGATGTTGAGATGGACACGGCAACGAAAACTGAGGTGGAGTATCTCAAGGATGGGACTTCCAAGAACGCGCTCGGGAATAGTCATACAGAATTGCCAAACGGTGTGATAATTTGCAAGCTCGCAATGGACATGTCTGGAACAAACACAAGTGTGATTTTTTAAACCGAACCTCCTGTTTTGCACAACCGAGCCGTGATAACAGAAGTGGACGAATGTGACGAGGAGCACTGGGAAGATGTTCACGATTAACCTGGTATTATTTCGCCGCCAAATGCGTGCTTCAATCGAGCAGTGACACAACCAACCGCTGCTCTCAAAGTAAAGATGAGTCCCAAAAATCAAAGAGGATAAATTCCCGGGGCGCAAACTTTCATCGAATAATTTGATATTGAGGAACAGATGCATTTTCAACCTCAGGCAAATCGTCTGTTCTGTGTTTCTGACGATCTCACAACTTCGCAAGCAGGGTTTAGCTAAACAAGCGACAAAGAAACAATAATGCAAAATATACTGAACGAAAATGAAGAATCGGGGGAGTAAAAATCGAGTGCTCCAACGCATCAGCCTCCACTCGTGAACAGGGCTCCGCATGTAGCAGAACGCCCAGGCTTGGTTTAGAAACATTCTCCACGAAGATTAAACCTTGAAACAACCACCGAGGATTTTGTCATAATCGATGATCATGGAAAAGAACGAGAAGAGCAAAGTCCTGATACACTTCGATCTCACGTCATCCATGATGGCAATGTGAGTTCCGATAACATCGACAAGGGTCTGTACGCTAGCGAGTATCGCTCCACAACACAAAACATGCAAGCGGTTGCTAGATCTTGTGCTGACGAAAGTTCAGAAAACGATTAGAGCTCATTTGATCAAATGTAGGAAACAAAGAATGCTGTAAATGTTACTCCGGAAAGATAACTACCATAAAATCTCTCTAGTAGTGCGCCTGACCCCAATGAGCTCAATTATGAGCCAGACAAGGCTTATAACCACGCCAAGAATTGCCACGAATTGAGAGTCCTGGGCGGTCACGTCGCTAAGCTGGAAGATTATTCCCATTCTCGCAACATGGGACAAATTACACTGAACGAATAAACAACCGACGGCACAGGGCAATGCGCGTAAACGTATGACTCTCCGGAGGAAGCGGCCACCGACTCACACTGGCGCTCCACAATAGTTGATAAAAAAGTCTTCGATCGCACCTAAAGCTGGGATGAAGTCGTTGCGGGGAACGTGAATGGAGCTTAAGAGATGCAAGTCACGAATACCGATTGGCAAGCCAGCCAATGTCGCCCGGCGAGGGTGAATATTACTAATGGTGAGGTGCATGCTTAAAGCGATCAATACAAGACCATGGTTGAAGAAGATTGGCGCTAAAATGATAGGTGGTCGCACTGTGATCAAAGAACAGACGA